TATAGTTAGTGTATTCTATCCTGGGAGTGATGGACAGACAGCATTCACAGTGTGGTCTGTTGAAATGTAACTAGAGATGGTTCCTTTGACTGATCAGTCCACAACGCCTGCTGCCTGGGAGAGACCTTGCTGATGCAGTAGCTCTACCTTGTGTCTGGCTGCTGTGCTTTCTCTTGCCACGGTGTATCAGTATGATTCTCTTACCTTGTTAACTGAGTTAGGCTGTTTCACTCAATCATCCTGTTTCCACCTACATATTGAATATATGGTCATTAGCACCTGTTTTGTTTGTTTTATCACCTGATGATATGCCTTACAAAATCCACAAGTTCCACCAAACTTTAATTTTCTTCTGTCCATTCAGTTTGTATTTTGTTTTATAACCAATACCATGTCCACTTTTAACTTACTGTATACTGTGTGTATTGACAAATTGTATTTTGATGCTTTGAAAACACTGTTCTTGAAACCTTCATGCCAATAAAGCCCTTTAAATTTAATTACATTTTTTTGTTTAATATTGGAGGCTTTGCTCCCATAAGGTATAATACATTACAGTATGGATATATTTCTCATGCTTCTATTGTCATAATTATTGACATTCTCATGTTATGTTAAGACACATTCACATACACAACAAGTAAATATAAATGAATGCCAGAAGCTGTTTAGTTTAAGTCAAGAAAGAAGTTTTGGTAAACAGTGCAAAATATACAAGGCAACCAATTATATTCAACAGTACATTTTATTATATTTTATATCCAGTGAGGATAGGTAAGTTTTCCTTGAATGTTATGTCTTCAAAGAAACACTTTTTTAATTCTTACATCCTGCAAGACCAGACAGGAGGCTATATTTCATGCCAGATGTCCCAATCTGGCATGAAAAAGTGCCAAAGAGTGCCCTGGTTGGTGGACAGACATTTCTGCAAGCTCCATCAGCCTGGTCATCGCTCCACTCTCTGCTCAAAATTAGTCCTGCTGAAAACAAACAAAACAACAACACACACATATAGTTGATTTTGGACGGCTGCCCCATGACGCACATTACTTCTGCATTCCACAGTTCCAACAGAAGTCAATGGGAGTGTCGTAACTCTCTTATTTAACGGCCCTGGGTACCATAAATGACTGCACGCAGTTTCACGTTAATCTATCCAAATCTTTCAGATATTTCAGTTTGAGACAAAGTGGTGGACTGACATTGCATACCTAGAGCCATGCTGTTGCCGTACAACTTTCAGAAATAATTCAGGACATTTATGCAGAATAACTAAGGCTATTTGAAAGGTCTCTGCACTAATTTTTTAAGCTAAACTCTTTATTCTGTTCCTTGCCACCCCCCAAAACTAAACCCTTTACATTTATCCTGTACCTGCCTGATTATACACACCTCAAGATTAACGACTGGTACAGTTACCCTGACTGGGCGTACGCACTAGGATGGACCATGACCCTTTCCTATATTCTCATGGTGCCACTGTGGGCAGCTGGAAATATGTTTTTGACAGCAGGAACCTTCAGACAGATGAATGTTCAAAGAGGATTTATCTCCAACTCTGGATTAAAGAAAAATCTAATTAACAATTTCATTTTATAATTTATGACCACCCATCAGTGAGTGCTCTGAAAGATCACTCAGCATTGTGCATCCGCACTTGATGAATCTAATGGGGGTACTTGTCTGGTTTTGGTGTTTAGTTTTCAAATTGTGTAAAAGTTTCTACGCACAGATTGCTTCTACATTGTGTTTGATGGGAATTAAGATCATGCAGTTATATTTAGTGGTGTGGGTAGTTAGGCCTGGTGGATGCATGATACCTCCAAATCCTCTGCTGTGGTCTGAGGAAGATGGCTGTCCTACACTTTCAGATTTGGGGTCCAAAATGTCCTCAGTGTCATAATTATAAAAGTAAGATTTAAATGTACTAATCTTGTTCCTTTTCTGTGTGCCAGCGTTTGTCCATTCTTTTTCATCCTGCTGAAGATCCGTCCTGGCAGAGGAGAGAAATGGGAGAGGAAGGAACCTCTGTTGAACTGACGACATCTGCAGGGACAATTTAGACCTGACCTGCAACCTGACACCTCCTCATGCACATATACTGTATGTAAGTGGCTCTGGATACCTGTGGCTGAAAGCTAAAGATATGTCAGATGAAAACTGGAACAATTAATTAGAAATTCACCATAATAGACTCTAAAACTACCATGAATACATTATTTATTAGGTTAGTTTAACGTCGCTGTGTTTTTGTTGCCTGGGGCGTGTCTCCAGGAGGAGGGCTTGGTCCCTTTGACTGTGCTTTCAGACCAAAAGCAATTTTCGTGGGTTCTAATTGCCTTCTTGCGTTGTGTGTGAACACTTCCAGCGAATGTACTCACGCATGGAAAGGGTCGCAAGGATTAAATTCGCGTTTGGTCTGAAAGCACCATGAGGTTTCTGTGTCTTAATTTTTAATATGGTCTTAAAGCTTATTTGCGCGTGTCAACTCTTAAATGTCATAAACAGTTATACAGTTCTTAGTTTTATGCATTTTAAGCAAAAAGAAAGGAAAACTACTGGTTTCAAGAGAGGACCTGGAAATCACTCTGACTACTGAAGAAATGGTTATTTAACTTTCAAATCTATTCTTGGCTCAGGAGCACGGAAAATTGATTATTTAACACATGATAATACGTCTGTACCATATAATTTCTAAGAAAATATATAGTGGTGCTTGGAACAAAGCATTAGTTAATACATAAAATACATGCAGGAATGTAAGTGAGCATTGCAAATGAACTTCTTTATGGTTCCTTCTTTTCAACATAGTTTCTAACAAGAATAACATGGTAATAAAACTACTCAAATTGAAGCAAGGAGAACTACTAATAAACTGTAAGATTATTTAGCTCAAACAGGGTAATAAGGTCGGTTTATAATGAGAAGACATTCTTTTTCCACACAAAGGAATTTGGGTCTGTTGTTTCTCTGAAGTTTTATCAGTTTGGCACATCGGTGTGAAAAGAGAGAGGGCATGTTAAGAGTTGCCTCGCTGCCTCGATACCTTAATAGACCTCAGAAGGCATCACTTTCAAGTGAAAGCAGCTCTGTTCCCATTAGTTTCGAACAGCCTTCTAGGGCAGCACTTACGGCAACGTGTGACGTCAGCACACTGTCTTGCGTCTCTTCTGGCTGTCAGAAGAGACGCTAGCCTTAGCATCAGCTAACTAGCTACTGGAAAGCCAAACAGCTAACAGACAGTCAGTCAGAAATCATACTGAACTTGGTTGGTTACAGTCATGGGCTTATATGATAGTTCAGTGTTTAGTTCTCGCTAGCTTTTCAAAAATCGAAGCGAGAAAAATACTAAAAAGTTTTAAATAATAAAATAAAATAAAACAATGTTTAAAAACAACAACAGATGAGCAGCAAACAAAGTACCCTTCTTTCCTGTGTTAACATACTTCTATCACATGTACGAAACATTCCTTCAATTTACAATATTGTTATTATTATGTTGTTATATAAATACGTACACACACACACACACACACACACACACACACACACACACACATATATATACTTTTTTTTCATATACACAATATTAAAGTGACCACTGACAAGTATTTATTTATCTAACCTCGATTATGTACTTATTCAAACAGCAACAACAAAAAAACAAAACTAAACAGCAAACATAAACAAAGGAGCACTTCTACTTTTACTACAGTGCTTCTCGATACCTCCTGAAAATAATTTCTTTGTACATTTTTTTGAAAAGGAATATGTTTGGGCATTGCTTTAGGTTCTCATTTAGTTTGTTCCACAATTTAACTTCGCAAATTGATAAACATAATCTTTTCCTTGTTGTTCTAAATCTATTAGTCTTAAAATTTCCCCTTCCCCTTAAATCGTACCTCAGAGAACATCTTTTGTATATTCCCAGGTAGTAGGTTATTTCTTGCATTGAACATGAATACTGCAGTTTGATATTCAATTAGATCGTGGTATTTTAGCAATTTAGACTGTAGAAATAATGAATTTGTATGATCCCGAAATCTGACGTTGTGAATGATTCTCATGGCTCTTTTTTGCATTATGACTAGTGGCTGTATGACTGTTGATAAGTGCTTCCCCATTATTATTATTTATTATTTGTTTGCCATCTTGATCAGTTTTCGAAAGCATCGATGCTGCCTTCAAAACTGGCTGTTGAAAGCATCTCAGGAGAAAGGAAGAGTTCGTTCAAACAGCACTCGATGCCTCGCTGTCCTGTTAGACACCTTCTGAGACAGCAGTTTGGCCCGTTTCGAACACAGCCCATGTGTGTGTGTGGGGGCAGTTTAGAGTTTCACAACCTCTGTGCAAAAAGGCCGAGACGAGGACGAGATTAGTCTCTGAACAAGGTTAATATTGTTGTTTTAACAGTCATGAGTCCGTTATCTCAACTTCACCGGAGATGGTGGGTTTTATGGTTGAAACTTCCCAAACAGAACTTGGTGTGGAGCAAACCTTTCACACCCTTCCTTTGAGGTATTTAGGGCCTGGAGTCAGATATCTTACCCCCCTTCTCTCAGGGAGAGATAAAGAGAAATATTCTGGATTCTTCCTTTTTGGCATAAAATAATTAAATGATCACTGGCTGGTTAACTACAGTATACATTTAAAAATAACTTAATAATGTAAATAAATTAGCAGCAGTGTTCTTGAAATACAGAACAGAGATAGTTATATAGTACAGTGCTATTACATAATAAATCATATAATAAAACCAACAGAGATCAGTTTGCACACGTTTAAATGCATGCTTTCACACTAAGTGTGGATTGGTCTCTTTCAGAATTCCCCCTGGCTCTGGTTAAACAGCAAGGTAGGGCTTGCCACACTGGAAACAGTTTTGTTTTGTGGATTGAGGGCAGAAAATAGTCAAATTAAGAAAAATAAATACAGCATCAGTTTGCAGTACTTTTGAAATCTAACTGAAACACACAACGGATCAAGTTCTTGATGTTGAGATGAACAGACAAAGAAGAAAAACAGAAAATGAGAAGAGGGCTGGAGAGAGAGGACAGTGGGCCAGTAAAACAGAATATATTCTGGTTGTTGCAGGAAATGTGGTCGGCCTGGGCAACGTGTGGAGATTTCCTTACCTCTGCTACAAGAACGGTGGAGGTGAATCCAACAAGCTGTTTTAATACAGCTGCATTATTCTGACTGTAGTGAAATGAAATAATGTTAATATTGATGATTGGTGTGGGAAAAGATATTACTTCATTCATTTGGAATTTCTATTAGCATACATGTCTCTGTATTTACTGTATAGGTGCCTTTCTGGTGCCATATGGTCTGTTAGTTGTAGTATGTGGGATACCTCTGTTCCTACTGGAGACCTCAGCTGGTCAGTACACCCAGGAAGGTTTCATCACCTGCTGGAGGAAGTTGTGTCCACTGGCAGAAGGTGAGTTGATTTGTACACGATACTTTAACCTCAGCTTTAATAAATAAAATCATTTCTTGTCCAAAGATAGCTCCACTAGCTCTGACAATGTGGTTCACAGAAAAATTTTAAAACCATCTCCAGAGATTTGAAAATATTTAATCCTGCAAAAAGGTAAACTATGTTTTTTATTTGTTTTTTAGGAATTGGATATGGAAATATTATAATGAAACTGTATGACTTCAGCTACATTTTAATCCAAGTTTGGGCTCTCTTCTACCTGGTGTTCTCATTCAGATCCCAGCTCCCCTGGGCTAGCTGTGAGAACACCTGGAATACAGGTAAGATTAGACTATGGAGTTTTATTTTATGTGTGTAAGATTAACTCCTCACATTCACTATTATCCTTTGTTTGTTTTTAAACCAGCTAACTGTGTGGCACTCCAGATTTCGGATTCTCCCTCAACAAATTCGACAAATCAAACAACGCTGAATAAAACCACCTCTGCTGCTACTGAGTTCTGGGAGTAAGTTTAAATAAATTTTCTTTTAATGACCAATATTTTCATTAAATGGAAAATAAGTGATTCTGCAGAAAGACAGTTGATATATGAACTCAAACAAATAACCCCCCCCTAAATTTCAAATCTCTGAAACTCCAGTGTTGAAAAGCCTTTGCCCTTGCCAGCTCATAAAACTTTCTTCAATGTTTATAATATTCAAACATTTTTCTCTTTGGCTGTCCATCTCTTTCTTTACAGTACCTGGAGTCCAGAACATCTGTGCCGGTGTATAGAACTTTTCTATACATGCTTCCTCTACAGTACAATTTATTTTATCATTTTCAAATACCAGTTACGTCTGACAGCACCCACTCTCTGAAGAACCTTTTTAAAGGTCCAGTGTGTAATATTTCTGAGGCTCAATATATTTAATAATATTCTCTGACACAGAAATGCAAGATGCATCCATCAACGACATTTAGCAAGATCCTTGCAATACAGACGCACATTATTTTTCTTTAATAAGACACACAATTACCTTCTTTCTTTTGGTTTGTTTTCTTTTGACTTTTTTGTAATCTAATACTGTTTCAACACCGTTTTATGTTTCGGGTTGTTGAAATAAGCCATAAAGTGTTTTATACAATAAAAAAATAAATAAACCAACCATAATGGATAAAGGAGGTTGATTACCATGTAAGTTACCATTGGCTATTAACCCTTTTCTCTCTTATGCCATAACTTGCTAATATGCATATATCTTAAACTGTCAACAATAACTGAGACCCATGCGAGCTGTTACTAGTCTTGTAACGTGATCAAAGTGAGGATAATATTGCAGCGTGGAGCCTCAGGTTATGTACTGCAGCCTTCAGCAAATTAATACTTCAGTCACAGATGCTGACACCCTCGCCTTAATAAAGGCAAAGATCCACCTGGATAACCTCTACAGTAGGCGTTTCCCACACACTGATTTATCTGTGGCGGCCTGCCACATTGTCAATGCTGATTTTTTATTGATTTTGTTACTATTCAAAATGGGTAAAATAGTATTTTATGACAGAGTTCTGCGCAGCGCACATATTCTCTCAGCATCTCCTCTCTCTCTCTCTCGGCACATTTATTTACATTTTCTCTCTCGGCTGTCATTCTGTGGGAAACACTGTATTTCCATACAATTGGGATTCATGTTGATAAATAGGCCTATGGGTGGGCAGGAGGGTGAGTGTGAGCAAGCATTCTCAATGTGACAACCCTGTCCATTATTTAGTGACTAGTAGGCTACCTTATCTGCCTTTTTGCTATCTTGGTTATTAAGTAGGGGAGAGCGGGGTATGTTGTCACACTTTTCACACCATCTAATATTTACTGAGCACCGTACATCACAATGGTACAAATGTCATACCAAATGAAAGAATGAAATCTTGGGCAGAAGTTTTGTCTTGATCACATCTTCATATCTTATCTCATTATGGAACTGTTGAATAGAGAGTGTGCACTTGTGACAATTTGCCCCATTGGCAGGTAAGTTGTCACACTGCATAGGGTAAGTTGTCACACTGGATTATCAAACAGTTAGAACACTTCATTGTGAATATTGATTTCAATTTCAAATTGTAACCAGAACCAAAAGTAAAATCAATCAACAATCAAGCCTAGAGAATTTGGAAAATAAATAATTTAATTCAAAACAAAAATGTTGGCAGAGCACACACATTAAGTGGGACAACGTCTTTCTTTGAACTTTGAAATCACACATTCTCTGGAGTGCAAATAGATCTATGGTTATTGAATGTAATGCTGCAGATAACTTGCTTAAATGTATAACTTCTTAACTTCTTTCGAATACTGTATGAAAATGGCTCCACATCCATGAGGCCAAAAGAGATGTCGGCGGCTTATGTCAAAATTCTTAGCTGTACTTCTGATTGATTTGTTCTTCAACTTCACCTGCCTGACTGCTTTTAACATTATGTCAGGCGGTGTCATTTCCTAGTCATTCTCTGTCTTCTGTTGAAAATTTTCTTCCTTCCTTCAAAAACACTTTCCTCCTTGCAATTAGAAATTAATTACAAGCTTATTTGTCTGCTACCCTTGTCGCCAAACTAAATTAATAACTGGATCATGTAGTGTGTGTTTGTATCTACTAACATACTACATGCCTATGGTATAAGACCGTATATACTCTGTAACTTACACATGAGACAACTTACCCCGCTCTCCCCTAATATAGTCCACTGTGTTGTCCACCTTTAGATGGCCTGCATAACAACAACAGGGAGCGTAGTGTCAAAGATAAGCTTTCTGTAGTCCATCTTCAGAACATTGTAGTTTTGTCACGGCAAGACATGTCCGTAACATCCGCCGTGCATAATTAACGTTACATCCCTTACAAAAGAGCAGTCGGATTCTCTGCGCCCCACGGTCCTCTTTTCCTAAGTCCTTATGGATTCTCCTTTACATTTTTCCTCGACCTCATGATGTTTTCCATCGAGGTCAAGGAAAGGTGGTTAGGAAATGAGATTTCTTTTTACTTTTCGACCGCAGCCATTTATATCTACATAACTGCGGGCACCCCCTGCTGCGGAGGTCATGGTATTTTGTCGTCATGTTTCTACCGTAGCCGTCAATGAACAAACAGCGCTACAGAGCGTGTTTCGTCATCATGGCGTTCATCTTCTGCTTGTGTAATTCCGGTAGTGTAGATGTCCGTCTCTACATTGAATACGTACAAAGAAAAAGAGGGACTAATAATAATAGTAATACAGTCTCTGAGTAGTCTTCTGGATTATGAGAAGTAAGAAGAGAAGTGACATTTGGACAACTGAAGGAGCACACGTGTCATTTAGCACGAGAGCCGACAGCCAGACGGAGTCGAGACAGACAGCTGAGCCAGAAATAACGGATTTTGTGGATTTTCCTAGATGGAAGGCTATAATGTTAATGTGGGACAGATGTTTTCAAAGCGGAGCTGAAGTTGTTTGTTTTCTGATGGACAGGTTATTAACTGTTTGTCAGACTTAAGCGATGCAAATGCAAACTGTTGTTTGATAGCTTTAGCTATTAGCTGACCATAATCACGAGAGACTTGACATGTTTCCCCTGTCAGTGGTGTGAAATATGGATTAATTTCATGGCGCCTACTTATTCTCCAGCCTGTGGTTTGGCTTTAATGGTTACGGTTACGTTAGCGAGACAATCAGCTGATCAGTAACGTTAATTGGCAATAAAACCTTAACGTTAGCTTAGAGCATGGAAGCATCAGCCAGCTAAACTTTTAACGACTGGTAGAAAAACATTTATTGTTAGTTGGTTTATTCTCCAGCGCTGTGCTTTGGCTTGTGGTGTTATGTTAGTTGTATTAATTTCATGTAGTGACTCTCTCTCCAGCACTCTGTTTTGGTTTTGTTATGTTTGTGAGAATCAGCTGATCGCTAATTGGCAATAAAAAAATACAGCTTCCAGCATCGAAGCTCAGATCAGCCAGCTAAACTTTTACTGCGCTGGTAGAAAAAATATCTTGTTGGATTGTAACTTCATGTAGTTCTTCTCCAGCGCTCTGTTATGGCTTTGTTACATGCCGTTACCTTCCTGAGACAAACGGCTGATGAATATTATTGACAATGAAACAGTAACAGCAGAGAAGCTCAGATCAGCAGATAAACTTCACATTTTACCTACCTGGTGGAAAATTATGGCTGTCAGTACTACTTTGTGTGTCTGCTGTATTTCAAAAAATTCAAAAAGACATTTTGGTAATATTTGCATGCTTATCTAATTAAGCAAAGTGAGAGGAGCCTTGATCCTCCCCAGCCAATGCATTTGTAAACGTCATGTATTATGTGGTTTATAATGGGCTGTGGTGTAGAAACAGTGAGGCTTACATTGTCCTGTCATCTGTCAGTGGTCATACTGGATGCACTAGATGTGATAGTTCTTGAGATTTTCTTCTTCTTCATTTTCTTCTATGTTAGTCCAGATGAGCCAACCCTCCCAAGATGTAAAATAATGTATTACAGGAGTATAAGACATCATGTAGCACTTCGTTTCTTCATGTGGCTGTTAATGAAAAAGTAACAATAATGGTTTTACATAATTTAACCATCCATAGTCAACTGCTTATCCTTCGTAAAGGGTCGCAGGGGGCCCTGGACAGGTCGCCAGTTACATAATTTATATAATTCCTTAATATATATATCTAAAAAAACTCATTTCTTGACTGGCAATCTCTTTCATCTCATAGATGACATGTTTGTCCTGTCTCAGGCACGGTAGCTATACTGCTTGCTGATGTTCAATTTCATTATTTAACTGCACAGCAGCCACCAACCCAATTGTCCCTTTGCTAAGCCACTCCCCCCTAAGTTACTGTTGCTAAGTCCGGCAAACTGTTGGACCTGTCAGACTTTTATCACTTTTATCACTGTCTATATGCACTCGCTGGAGAAATATTCTCAAAATGAAGCAGACAGTTTTGCAGTTGCATTCTGCAATTGAAGGTTATATTCAGGCTGTCAAACTGACGTCAAAAATATAAAGACAGAAGCTCAAGCCTACCGATCACAGAGTAATAGTGAACCACCACATCACCTGACGATTGCGACAGAGGACAACGATATTAAGGATTAACGGTGTTCCTATAAAACTGGGCAGGTCGCTATAAACTATTATAATTATTGAAAAGTAAAAAGAGTAGGGCCTCATAATGTTACATTCAGTAGTAACTTGAACTTAAACTTGAACTTGAGTAGTAGCTAGCATTAGCTAACTAATATCACATTAGAAGCAATCGATACCCTACATTTTTCTGGATTTGTTTTAGGTTTTGGAAAGGGAATAATTTGTACGTCTCCGTTCAACCTATCTGGGTAGCAACAGGAACAGGAACAGTGTTTGATTGAACGGCCAGCAGGGGCAGAGTATGCTTCAGGCCGGGATTAGCTGTGATTGACAAGTCGTTACCATGGTGGTGACCTGTCAATCAGGCTAGAGTGACTCCTACCCACGGCACTGTATAAATTTTATCAGCGCTGTTGAAAAAGCTTATTAGAAGTTGGCTGTTTACTTTCTCTGGTGAGTATATTTAGTTTTAAGCTTGTTGTTCGCTAGACAAAATTGTCAGCCCTGTTAAAAAAGCTAGCAAGCTCCACACATGGCCGTTAGCTCCACTGCACTTCCTGGTTGCGAATAATCAACATAGCGGCGCCCTATCAGCCAAACGCGAGACTTCAAAACGCCAGTCCACAAACCAACGGGTGACGTCATGATCACTACGTCCACTTTTTTTGTACAGTCTATGGTCAATTCTGCAACTCTGCCTTGCTCTTCCCTCTATCTATCTATCTATCTATCTATCTATCTATCTATCTATCTATCTATCTATCTATCTATCTATCTATCTATCCAGCTTATGATATGGCAGCCTGCTTATCAAAAGATGTCTAAACAGTTGGCGTCATCCTGGCATGGTGCGAATGTTGAGCGCAGCATTAACCAGCTGTTTCTATGATGGGGTTTTCAGAATTTGATTAGACGAAAATAACTTATTCTAACTTATTCGGATAATTTATCGCTGTTGATTAATCACACAAAGAATATTATATTGTTTTTAAATAGCCGGCTACTTGAAATAGACCCGCGAGGAACTGCAACATGCATGCAGTTGTTGGCAGCACGGCATGCACGCAAAACTTTGCACAAGACCGGTGAATGGCAGGCGAGAGAGAGAAAATAAACAACAATAAGGCTCAGTCTAGCTGAAAATTTGCAGTGTAAGTTGAATGAATAGCGACTGCAGCTCTGCAGCTTCTCAAGATTAAAGCGGAGCCACCATGTTGACTGTGTCGACAATAGTCAGTTGACTATAGGCAGGACTTGACATTTCTGATTCGACTATGTGAATCCAGCGTTTTGGCCAAAGTCAATGCAAAGACGCGAATTCCTGCGAAAGCCTATCAGCGGTGAGATTGTCCAAACGTCACCAGCGGCTTCGGAGCGGTGTAAAGACAATTGATTGCACAATTGTTTGTTTACTCTTACTTCTTTCTCTATGTATTTACCCTATTGATACTGTAGGTGCTAATAGCTCTTACTAGTATTTATTGTCACTTGTAGATCTCTTACTGCATTGATGCTTCTATGTTGTTCCTCAAATGAAAGTCCTCTTTTTACTACATTGTGTATGTAATTCAAAGAACTTCAACACCTGTCTCTGGTTGAGATTGGATTTAACTGTGGTTGACCTATTTTACCTAAATTACAATAAATGAGCTATTTCAATGTATATTTTGAGCTGCAATTGTAGCAGAAATAGAGGCTTTATACATTATTTAAAGTTTTAAAAATTATATCTTCATTTCTGACATGTTGCGCGCAATCAAGTGAAAATAACACAAAAAACATCAATAGTTTTGGTATTGGGTAAGTGTCTACGTAAAGAGAAAATGGGTTTAATGACTGCATATTCTGTGTAAACAACATGAATTGTGTTAATTATAAGGTATGAACAGGCCAATGTGGGGCTAATGTGACTACCGATTGGACAAAATTATGTTAGCGGTTGTAAAAAAACTTTTGATGATTTCTTGATTGAGAACAGGTGTGGCAGTAATCACGCCTGGGTGTGGCAAGAAAAATTGACCTCAGGTTTCCAAAGATGTGATAAACCACAGTTGATTTATGTTGACCTACATGGTCCTGTGTTTGTCCCTTAATCATAAAAACCTTCATTTAAAAACTGCATTTTGTGTTTACTTGTGTTATCTTTGTCTAATGTTTCAATTTGTTTGATGATCTTAAACATTTCAGTGTGACAAACATGCAAAAAAAAAAAAACAATCAGGAAGGGGGCAAACACTTTTTCATTCCACTGAAGGTGACTTGTCTTGACTCTCTCACCCTCCCCACCTCCCCCATCACTCCTGTGCATGAGCACTAACGCTATCAATCTTGCTGATTTGCTGGAACAATGTTGTGTGGCAAGGTCCACACCACGCTTTTATTCTGAATTTAACAATCAATCACAATCATTCTTCAAAGGTCACAATAAATGAACAATTAAACATAATCCCATTTAATGAATGTTATAGCAATACAATTGCTTAAACTCCTTGTGAACCACAATTCAAGTTGGGTTTCCACTTTTCAGCTGATAATATTATATAATACACCGGCAAAATGAATTCATGTTAGATCAAGTTTCCTGCATAGGCTTTGGAGTGCACCATGTTCACTGGCCAGGAGTCTGCTTAATAATAGTGGAGTAATTTAGTAAACTTTCATAATATATGTATATCACATATCATGTATACCTGTTTAATTTCCCCCCTCCTCAGACGGCGGGTGCTGGCCATGTCTGGAGGCATTGAGGAGCTGGGCAGTGTGAGGTGGGATCTGGCTTTGTGTCTTCTGGCCTGCTGGGTGTTCTGCTACTTCAGTACCTGGAAAGGTGTTAGATCTTCTGGAAAGGTCCTGGGGGAACATTTTAAATCTTTGGTGCGTATAATCATCAACTTACAGTCATTATGTTTTCTTTAACAATTTCCTTTTCATTTTAGGTAGCGTATTTCACAGCCACGTTCCCCTACGTAATGCTCCTGATCCTACTCATCAGAGGCCTGACTCTACCTGGAGCTTGGGAAGGGATCTACTACTACCTGTATCCAGATCTGAACCGCCTGGCTAACCTTGAGGTGGCTTGTTTATTTGATCCCAACTTTACAATTACATGGACATCTCTAAAGAGGAAGAGAATTTATAATGTGTAAAATGTTTTCATTTTTTTTCTTATAGGTTTAGTGTGTATTATTTAGAAGGATCTATTGACAAAATGCAATATAATATACATAACTGTTTTCAGTGGTGTATGAAGACCTTACATAATGAACTCTTATGTTTTAAGTACCTTAAAATGAGCCATTTCTATCTACATACTCCGCGGGTCCTCTTACATGGATGTTGCCATTTAAGCTGCCATGTTTTTATAGTAGCCCAAATGGACAAACTGCTGTAGAGAGAACGTCTCGTCAATACTTTGAATACGCACAAAGAAGAACAAGAAGTAGAAGAAGAAGAGAAAGTAGTAGTAGTCATCTGGTTTGTTAGAAGTAAGAAGAGAAATAAAATTTGGTGGAATACATGTATTATTTAGGTGAAGAACTGACAGAGCATGTCGGCCACCATAGCTTCTCCTGCGCTCTGGCAAAGGGAGAGGTGAGCAGTGAGAGAGCTGTTGGTTGCAATTCACAACCCTTGCCACAAGATGCCACTAAAACGTACACGCTGAACCTTAAAGGTGTGTGTGTAATGCTTCAGCTGAATTAGGTAACATGATGCGTGTCCCTAACACGTCAGTCTTCTGTTGTGGGATCTTTACAACATAATCCTTTCATTAAGCGGTCATCCATTCTGAATCTCCTCCTGATTAAAGGTCTTGTTTATCAGGCATCTCAAAATTACTGCTAGGAATCGCACTGAAAATTAAATAAGAATTCCTACTTCAGTATGTTTTCTTACGTTACAGGTCTGGATAGAAGCCGGATCTCAAGTCTGTTTCTCCTACAGCCTGACTGCTGGGACTCTAAATGTCCTGGGCAGCTATAATGAATACAACAACAACTGTTACAAGTAGGTGTAAGTCAGATCACAACAACTTTGGTATTGTAGGCTACTATGTTCGTTTTAGAGGCTTTAGAAGATTTTGATGAATTACAGATACAGATTACATGCAATATATTAAAAAGAAATCTTTAGGAATGTCCCCTTTTTGACTAGGGTCTACTGTCTTTCTGTGACCTCTAGAGACTGCTTTTGGCTCTGTCTGCTGAACAGTGGGACCAGTTTTGTTGCTGGATTTGTCGTCTTCTCAGTACTTGGATTCATGGCTCAGAAACAGGGTGTTACAGTGGACAATGTGGTTGAGTCAGGTATGATCTACTTTAAGATTTGATATGATGTGCTGTTGAAATTCTATATTAAGTCCCGATCCAAATAATTTTTTTTAATTCCCATTCACAGGTCCAGGTTTGGCCTTCATTGCTTACCCTCAGGCAACAGCTATGATGCCTTTGCCGCAGTTCTGGACTGTCTGCTTCTTCCTTATGCTCATTTTTCTCAGTGTTGACACACATGTAAGATGTTTTCATTAATAACTGATACATTGCAGGCAGTAAAAAATTGAAAAACGAGAAAACCATTTTATTTTCTCCCCAGTTTGTGACAGTTGAAAGTTATATCACCTCAATAAGCGACTTGTTTCCAAAGCTGTTTCGTAAACCTGGCAGACATGAGATGCACGTCCTTTTCATCTGTTCCTCCTTCTTCCTCATACATCTGATGTTGGTCACTGAGGCAAATAAAATATTTCCATGAAAATACATCACAACTACTATTTTCATAAAATGTTTTTAAAGCTATTTGTCACATTAACATCTTGTCTCTTCCTGCTGTAGGGAGGGATTTACATATTTCAGCTTATTGATTATTATGGCACTACCAGAGCTTTTCATTATTTCATGGCTTTATCTGAGTGTCTAGCTCTGGCCTGGGGTTTTGGTAAGCATGAAAGCATTTATATTATATCCACTTTCTAACCATTCGTATACATGTGTTATTATTCAATAATCACTTATGAGGTTATGCTTTATATTTAAAACTATCCCGAGTCAGAATGCTTGAATACAACCAAATATTTTAAAGAGATTGTTTATCCTTCCTCCTCGATCACAGTCTTATTTTAGCTATAACACTCCACAATACTAATAAAAATACTTTAAAACTGGTCTAATCCACACTATAAATTTCCATCAGGTGCTGACCGTGTTATTAACGTCATTGAGGACATGACAGGACAGAGACCCTGTGTTTTCTTCAAACTGTGCTGGAAATACATCATTCCTCTGCTGTCACTGGTGAGTCAGGAAGGTTTGAACAGCAACAAAATGTAGTTCCATTGCTCTAATAACAAGACTAAGGCTATGTTAAGACTGCATGTCTTAATGCTCAATAGCGATTCTTTCCCCAGATCCGATCTTTTTTGTTTGACAATTCACATTATTGTTTAAATGTGGCCCATATCAGACTCCAGTGTGTACTCTCAACGGCCTGAAAGTGAACCGCATGTGCAGAAGAATAAAACAACGTCTCACGCAGCAGCATGCTGTGACACAGATGTAAGTAAGCCACAGAGGTTAGCCACGGTTAGCTCATACTTGCTAACCCTCCCGAATTTCATGGGAGACTCCTGTATTTCATTGCCCTCCCTCGGTTTAGTCCCGGAGTCACATCTCTCCCGAATTATGACAAATGTTCACAACTTTCTGTCCTTTCCATGACATTTATTAATTTTTCTGCCGCTGTACAACGCATCTGCCCCACAACTCTCTCTCGCTCTACTACGTCCGCTCAGATAAGTAGCATGCACTTGTAACTCAAAAGAGAGCTCATGACCCGGTGGATTTCAGGTGTAAGAAAGGGACTTTGTGAGCAGATGATAGCAAGGTAACAGTAGAGGAGGAAGAGAGCCACATGTATGATGATGGCCTTTGTGGAGCTTTTTCGTTAATCAAAGTTGCATCAGTTCCGATCTGAGTGTCCAGACTCAAAAAAAGATGCCACAGAATGCATGGAACCTGCTAGAAGGGAGAGAGTGAACTAAATACATGGGCCAGCTTTTATAGCCCCTGGGTCCAGGTGAGAGCAATCAGCTGATGACCCACCCAATTCAGCCAATTGTCTGCTGAGGTTGGCAGGACAACCTCCAAACAGTAGGAGGGGCGTCACACCCCCCATCTTAAGTACAAACTGTACATCTGAACTCAGAAGATACCAAAGGCAAAACACATTTACATTAAAGAGATGGTATTATGCTCATTTTCAGGTAGCAAATCTTAATTAGGGGTTGTACCAGAACAGGTTTACATAGTTTAATTTTCAAAAAACACCATATTTTCCTCATACTGCACATGTGTTGTACGCTCCACTCTTGAGCTACAGAGTGATGCATCTTACTTGTACAAAGTCTTCGTTGGGAGTTGCACATGCGCAGTTCCCAGGTAAGGACTACTAGCCAATCAGAAGCAGAGAAGGGCGGGTCGTAAGAAACAAGGTAGTGTGATCCAAATCAAAGCCGCTTCAGACTGCGACCGTAACCTAGCAGATGGTATAAGTTACTCACAAGTCCACAACCACACAACATCATTGTTCCACATCTTACCATAAACCACTACAAAAATCACCATATTTCAACTCAATTTTACATAAAAATTGGCCAAACAATTTGAACGTTTGCTCAGTAGCTTTCACATCAGCTGTAACGTTAGCATAATAGTTATAACTTTAGCTGTGATAGCCAACGTTTACAACAGCTCCGCACTTGAATAGTCTGTGAAGTTACATTGCCGTGTTTATTTTAAATATAATTCACAACCAATAAAGCATACTTACAGGTTGTGATTGTAAATTTTCAGGCCCAAACAGAGTCGGAGTTGCATCGTCTTTTAGGACTAAACGTTGAACTGTTACCGGTGTTCTGACGATCTATGCTGCCTTGCCAAAATATGCTACCATAGCGCAAATCGATAGACTCGACTCTACTCGGCCCTGCTCCGTTTTGTCATAGCGACGCCACACACAACTGCCGCGACGTAATGTTCAATGCGACACACACACCAGCGATCCACACAGCTTTCTCTTTTTTAAGTTAAAACGTTTCAACATTCCTCAGAATGTAAAGACAGATAAGCGGTATGAAAACCTTCCAGCTGTGTTTTCCTCTGCCGTTGTTGCTGCAGTGGTCTGTGTGACGGCGGGAGCAGAGGGCTCTGTGAGCGGGCGGCTGGCCGGCCTCACACGCTGCTCCCGCGGGTTGGCGCAGGCTTCCCCCACAGCCACTTGCGGAGCTCCTCAACTCCGAAAATATTCAAGCACATTTTTGTTCCGTCATCACTTCTCGTAAAACTGTGTATTTGAAATCTACACAGCTGATTCCTCACATCAAAATATAAAACTTTCTGTTGCTGGCCTCTGTCTGGTGCACGGAAGTGAATGACTGGACTACAAGCGAGCTGTTTTCAAGCATAAAAAAGCATAATGCCACATCTTTAAATTTTAACTGTGGCCATTGATAAGGTCCCCATCATTAGAATGGCTATAAACACAGACATGCTGCCATAAGTGACCTAACCTTTTCACTTTTATCTTACCATATCCAATCCCCCACCCAGCAACCTTGAATCCAGGAAAGCAATATAAGGATAACAAACTGGGGAATCGGCAAGTAAATAGTCGCATGACAAAACTGGTGCTTATCAGTGCATAAAGAGTGTAAAGATTGTACACACCTCAAATTGCAGATGGTTTTGCATGAATACAGAAAAGTGAGGAATACTGACAAATGAGAAGTTGAGGACGAAGCCCTGACTCTTTCACATCAAAATGAACATCCGAAGCTCATCTCAAATGAACCAGTTGGCCTTCTGCTAGACATAACATACCAAAATTCCACCAACCAAATGCACGTAAAACTGGAATTACCATGTAAGCGCTAAAATAAGTAGCACACCAAAGTTCCTCCAAACAAAGGCTCACTAGCCAACCAAGTCATCCCAAGACGCACAACAAAAGAAAACAAAGCTACAACAAAACTCATACTATCCAAACAAAGCATGAGCTATAGCGCATAATGTATGTACCAAAGCTAGCTGGCCAACCCACCAAGCTAACCCAGATGGATAACACTTCCCCACTGCCAATATTATAGTTCCTCATCAACCAGACCAAACTCTATCATAAACATTAACCAAACATTTCAAGAAATACCAGGTTTGAAAGCAATTTAGAAGTACATCACCTCCAGATCAAAGCATTGTTTTTACAGTTTCAACCATAGTATTTCTAAGATTAGAAACTCAAAGACTACAATCCTAATACACAAACATGTACAATGGGAAAGTCATAGTCACAAAAGAGCCAAAGCTCCCCAGCTCTAATCTTACTTATTCCATTTGGTATCTAACTAGTGCCACCCAAATCTTCAGATGGATACTGGTGGTGGGTACTCATGCACTGATTCCACTACAGTACCGAAAAGCAACCAGAAACTGGCAACCAGGGAAATGCTACCAAGACGTAGTCTTCAACCATGTTCTCTGCCACACTTTAGTGAAAACAAACTGGTTGATCTCCTATCTCCTATTGAGAACAACCTACTACTACAAACTACTTCAGCCTACAAAGGTATGCGTGGCTCCTACAAACCAATGTGACTATACTCACCCAAAACATGTTGCATGTCAAAACAGGTTTGCAACTATACAAATTGGGGACAAATGCAGCTCCCTTCAACATCCACCAAAAACAAACTCCACAAAAAGTAACCAATCCGAACAACAGAACAAACAACCTTGTGTGATACTCCCCAAAATCTTATCTACAATGCAAAATACTAAATACCAAAGGCACTTTATCGACACTGCTTAAAAGCACCTAAACTCATTTTAGTATTCACAGACCACAAGAGTCACAACCAAATTGGTCACCAACATACTAATCAACAATTAATTTGCTACAGTAGGCTAGGTTTAACCTTATCAAACGGGTTTGGATCCCAGGTAAGCCCCCATTTGTCACAAACTGGCTCAGGGAATGTGACAAAGAAGGAGTCCACACAAGGTACTTAGTCAAAACAAGTATAATTTATTAAACTAAAATAAACACAAGTACTTTGTTGTGCAGTTTGAACGTAGCCCAAGGGTCTACAACTGTACTAGCAGCTCTGTTAGACTGTACATGGGCACAGCAGTGCTGGGAGCTAAACACATTATAATTTAGCATGTTATCATGCTAACATTAGCTAATGGCAGCTGAGGATGATAAAGATGTCCAGCTGATGATGGCACTTGAGAAAAGCCAGTATAGTTCATCCTCTGGGTACCATAAGTGACTGTACACACTTTCATGTTAATCCATCCAAATCTTTCAGATATTTCAGTGGTGGACTGACTGACCGACTTTGCATTTCTAGAGATGCTGCTAGCAACTGACATAAAATGCATTCTGTAGAACCTAAATCCTCACGGTCAAGTAGTCTTGCTTTTCTCCAGTTTGGCTGTTCTTTCAGCAATAATTCAGGACATTTATGCAGAATAACTAAGGCTACTTGAAAAGGTCTCTGTACTATTTTTTTTAAGCTAAACTCTTTATTCTGTTCCTTGCCAACCCCCCAAAACTCAAACCTTTACAGATTTCTTTGATCCTGTACCTGGTTGATTATACACACCTCAAGATTAACGACTGGTACAGTTACCCTGACTGGGCGTACGCACTAGGATGGACCATGACCCTTTCCTATATTCTCATGGTGCCACTGTGGGCAGCTGGAAAGATGTTTTTAACAGCAGGAACCTTCAGACATGTGAGTGTTCAAAGATGTCTACAATCCTGGATGCCAGAAAAGGCGATATCGCTTTCTAAAGATATACTGTAATTAATTATTTAATTTTATAATTTATGACCAACCACAATTAAGTGCTCTGAAAGATCACTCAGCATTGTGCATTTGCACCTGATGGATCTAATGGGGACACTCGTCTGGTTTTGGTGTTTAGTTTTCAAATTGTGTGAAGTACAGATTGCTTTTACATTGTGTTAAATGGGATTGAAGGCAAAGCAGTTATATTTAGTGGTGTGGGTAGTTAGGCCTGGTGGACTGCATGATACCTCCTCCAAATCCTCTAGTGTGGTCTGTGGAAGATGGCTGCCCTACATTTTCAGGTATGGGGGCCAAAATGTCCAAAATGTAAAAATAAGATTTAAATGTACTAATCTTGTTCCTGTTCTGTGTGCCAGCGTTTGTCCATCCTTTGTCGTCCTGCTGAAGATCCGTCCTGGCGGAGGAGAGAAATGGGAGAGGAAGGAACCTCTGTTGAACTGACGACATCTGCAGTGACAATTTAGACCTGACCTGCAAAGTCACATTAATTAGACACTTATAATTATGTCATTTATAGAATTAGTAAAAACACGGGTTATCTTGGGTATAATTCTAACCTCCTAGCAGTAGCATCCCTAAACTATCAAAGGTATAAGTATTACTGTGTAATTTGTATGTATCTATTTGCTATCATAGTTTAAGTTGGTTCAATCAGTTATGACTCATTAGCTCTCCCACCATTTGATTTTAATCATCAGTGTCTTGACTAAATAAGACAACGTATTGGTGAGATCAATCAAAGAACAATCCTTGCATTACTTTCCCATGTCACTCTATTTTATATACTGTATAATGCAAATAAACTTCTTACAGTTGTTCTGGGTTGTTCCGACTCTGACTAAATATTTTAATGCCTTTTAAAGTCCCTGAGGTTCCCAAGAACTACAGGAGAAACATGCTGTCTGGAAATGCATTTAATGCTTTTCTAACATGTTCTCTCCAAGGCTACACAATACTGCAAAGTCCTTACATGTCTTTCGTTATATATGACAACTTAAAAAAAAGGACACCACACCAACTACAGACGACACCAAAGTATTTAGCTCATCATCAAACAGTTAAGCTTATCTAATTTTCAATGCTAAATAATAAGGAACATGGAAAATGAACACAAACAATTTAATATAGAAAATACTACAACTGGTTAATGTTTTGGTCCCTTGAAAATAACATAGTGAGTAATACTGTAGCTAAGTAAACAAGAAGCCATTTAAGACTCTGAATATACCTGAATGACCCACGGCGTAAACAGACAGACAGTCATATAACCCAAATATCTTATAGGCTGTAGCAAATGTGACGCCTATTTTATTAACAGCATTAGAATACTTCATCACCTCAGCCCTTGATAATTCAGGGAGAACAAGCTGTTTACCGCCTTCAGACTGACACATTATACCTGTTCATCATAGAATAGCATAATGCTGCAATGGTGGTGACTGGTTGATAAAAGAGACCTAGTACGTAACATAACAGAATGAACTAACCCTGGCTCTTCAAACACTGTTGGGGATATGGACTCTTTTGCCTTAGATCTAGTGAAAACTGCACACAACTTATTCCTGAACAGAATAGGCAAATTATTTTTATTATTTATTATTACAAATTACTGGAACCAACCACCTAATTGCTAAATATTTTCAGTGTAAATGTGTGGCACATATGACATGTATAGATAATTGCCCACTTACTAGTGTGTTATTTTATGTTTTATAGTATTAACAGACTAGTTAAAAGAAATGAGATCACTGTGGGTATATAAGCTGTGGGCTTGTGCTGCGTTCTTCATTTGGCAGTTAACACAAGAAAAAAGTAAAACAACTGAGGACCAGCCAACTCACTTAGTTTACTTTTGTACATAACAGCCTATGCTATGTTTATCTGTTATCTTATGATTTTAAATGGAAATGGTTATTACTGTATTTTGATATATTGAGATTTTAAGATCAAACTTTGATTTTTTTTTACAATAGTTATTGTTTCTATTGTCTTTCGTATTGTTCCAACTAAGTTCATTTGGCATTAACACAAGAAAAAAAGTAAAACAACTGAGGACCAGCCAACTCACCAACTTGTTTTTCATTTATTCTTTCAGAGTAAATCATTTTTAAAATATCTCAACCCTTGAGTCAACTTGCATATGCAGGATTCGGTGCTGTTTTGCAATGACACTCTTTTTGTCGTGTGTAATAAATCCAGCAAGCCCTTTTCTTTACGGCGGCTTCACTGCCCCTCCCTAATAGCCCATACTATGTCTTTGCTTTCTGCAATTGGTGTTTTCCTCTTGTTTCCTGTTGTCCCCAGCCCCCATCCTTATTCTCTTGGTGTTGTCCTTTCTCTGTGGAATCTGATTGTAGGTCAGCTCAGCCTCTGACTGAACGCCGAACTCACCAGGAATTCCATGTTTTTTGTTATTTCCCTCTTTCATCTCTCCTTTTTATCCTCTGTATGTTTATATGAAGCAGATTCATAAAATAAAATACATTGTCCAGCTGTAAAATAGTACAGTGGATCTTTTTTTCACTCAAGCCCTTGATCATAAGATGAGCAGAGAAATAAGTTAAAAGAGAAAATCAGAAAAGAGTTATGAAAAGAATTTCGGCATGTTTCACCATAACGCTGGATTATAACAAAATGGCTCTTCAAGAGCTCCTCTGGGTTTTGCAAATCAAAAGCATACCATTTGACCTAAACACTAGAGTAACTAGTGCTAGCTTTTATATTGGCTTGAGAAATAAAAAAAAAGACAAGCAAATATCAGTTTGCACAAACATATTTAAATGCATGTTTCCAAACTAAGTCAGCATGGGTCTCTTAAAGAAGTCCCCCTGGCTCTTGTAAGGTACACATTGGAACTGGTTTTGTTTCATGGCTTTAGGACAGTATACATATTCACATTAGGAATAGACAGGAAAAGCAGCAAATATCAGTTTGCAGTACTTCATCCATCCATCCATCCATCCATCCATCTTCAACCGCTTATCCTGCGTACAGGGTTGCGGGGGGCTGGAGCCAATCCCAGCTGACATCGGGCGCAAGGCAGGGTACACCCTGGACAGGTTGCCAGTCCATCGCGGGCCAGTTTGTAGTACTTCATCCATCCATCCATCCATCCATCTTCAACCGCTTATCCTGCGTACAGGGTCGCGGGGGGCTGGAGCCAATCCCAGCTGACATCGGGCGCAAGGCAGGGTACACCCTGAACAGGTTGCCAGTCCATCGCAGGGCCAGTTTGTAGTACTTTTGAAATATAATTGAAAGTTCTAAAGTTCTTGATGTTGAGATGAACAGACAGAGAAGAAGAAAAACAGAAAATGAGAAGAGGGCAGGAGAGAGAGGACAGTGGGCCAGTAAAACAGAATATATTCTGGTTGTTGCAGGAAATGTGGTCGGCCTGGGCAACGTGTGGAGATTTCCTTACCTCTGCTACAAGAACGGTGGAGGTGAATCCTTCAAGCTGTTTTAGAAGAGATGCATTATTCTGACTGTAGTGAACTGAAATAATGTTTGGTTGTATTAATGATTTCTGTGTGAAAAGATGTCACTTAGGCTAATTAATATGTAATTTCCATGAGCATACATGTCTCTGTATTTATTGTATAGGTGCCTTTCTGGTGCCATATGGTCTGTTAGCCGTAGTATGTGGGATACCTCTGTTCCTACTGGAGACCTCAGTTGGTCAGTACACCCAGGAAGGATTCATCACCAGCTGGAGGAAAATTTGTCCACTGGCACAAGGTGAGTTGATATGAGTTGAACTAAAATGTGCTGTCAAAAGAAAGAGATAAAAAGCCAATATAGTTTATACAATAAATTAATATTTTCTTCAAAGATTATTCAAGCTGTTTTGCCAGTATTTAATGTCTAATCAGGTTCTGTTGTTTTAACTGTGGTTTGTATTTCTACTGTAGGAATAGGATTTGGACAGCTGACGATTTCACTTTGTTTCTTCATCTACGTTTTAATTGAAGCTTGGGCTCTGTTCTACTTGGTGTTCTCATTCAGATCCCAGCTTCCCTGGGCCCACTGTGAGAACACCTGGAATACAGGTGAGGCTATTGAATCTACTTTAAGTTGTTAAAGCTTGGAACATTAGCTAGTGTCTAACTCCATAGCCACAAAATTTGACCTAAAACCCAGTGGTCAATTATACTAAACATTAGTTGTGGATCACTAAAATGATAAGCCACCGGGTTGCCAGTTTAAAACACATAAATACACCTTCACATCAACTTTACAGTTTAAAGCCTTCAATTCACTTTACCTCAATGAAATTCTTGTTTGTCCCCAAACCAGCTAACTGCCTTGCTCTTCAGACTTTCAATTCATCTAATGTGACTACAGATCAGACTAACACCACCTCTGCTGCAACTGAGTTCTGGGAGTGAGTCTGATCTTTTTCTTTGTAGTAGTGTATCAGTATTTCACTTTTGATGCATTAATGCCATGATTTATTTTAATGTTTTCATGCTTTATTCACATTAGGAATGATTTCGGTTTTTCACTTTTCCTGGTTCTTTGAAATTAAAGCAAGAACTGTTGTGTTCAAAAACATTTGTCAAAGATAATTGACTATTAACATTTGCATAACCTCACATTTTGTTGGACATTTGCAAAATTGGCAACAGCTATAGTGATTCAGTGTAATTTCAAACTATCAATAACTAAAACAAATGATGTTTCTACATATGACTCTGCAAATCCCAACCTCACACATCCTTTTCCAGCACTTTGTGTCACATCATGGGTACCTTGTAAATTTCTCCTCAGACGGCGGGTGCTGGCCATGTCTAGAGGCATTGAGGATCTGGGCAGTGTGAGGTGGGATCTGGCTTTGTGTCTTCTGGCCTGCTGGGTGTTCTGCTACTTCAGTATCTGGAAAGGTGTCAGATCTTCTGGAAAGGTCCTGGCGAAACTCTCTTCTCTTTATCTACGCATATAATCATCAGCAACCTATAGTCATTACTTCTTTCATTTTGCAAACTATACCATAGCTTTCGGGGGAGCTCAGTTTTGGTGTGTGTGTGGGGGGGCAGGCATAGTAATAATAATTATAATAATGAAAATAAGTTATTATTATTATTATTATGTAGCCATTTTTCTACAATTACTCTTGACACGACAGCTGCAGCTGAGTTTGTGACCTGGCCTTTCTTTATTCTGTGAGAGGGAAGAATTTAGAAAAGTTGCGTGACGTGCAGAAGTACATGTATCATGCATAATATTCATCCAGCCAGAGGGAACGATCACAAACCGTTCACAGCGGTCATACTAGCGACATAACCCGTACTGGAGAGGGAGTGGGGCGGTGGAGCATAGAGGGACAGGAGATTGTGGAGCGACCGGCCCGCTGTGTATACTATATCTCATTCCCTCTGGCTGGATGATTTCTGAAGCACCGGATTTTGCGCATGGATCCATGATGATAGAGAAATATAGAAATTAATGGCAATAAAGCATGCTGTCAATATTTTAGAGACTACCCAAAATATCACAAATCATGTTTTTCGGAGAGCTGACGTCTTATTGAGGGGAGCTAAGCTCCCCTGTAGTTCGCGCAGTGACATCTTTAACAATTTCCTTTTCATTAAAGGTCGCATATTTTACGGCCACATTCCCCTACGTAATGCTCCTGATCCTACTCATCAGAGGCCTGACTCTACCTGGAGCTTGGGAAGGGATCTACTACTACCTGTATCCAGAACTGAAGCGCCTGGCTAACCTTGAGGTGGCATTTTTATTTGAACCCAATTTTAGAATTCCCTGGGCATTAAAAAAGAGGAATAAGTCATTTGATGCATCTCACTGACAGGCCAACATTCTGTTGGATCT